TAGATTAATTCTCAATGCTGATGTGTGAATAAATTAGAGAAGCGTTGACTTTTTTGGCCATAGCAGTTAAGACAATATTTGCAGTACTTCCAGCTTGTTTGTATTAGGAGACAGAATGTCTTTGCTGTAAAGAATACACACAGTGCTGTGTTCTGCAGCATGGCAGTTTCATCTAGGAGCAGTTTTCTTGTTTTAACTCTTTCTGGGGCATAGTCTGCTTAAATCAAGTTTTCAGTCTCTTTTTGTTTTTTCTAAAGAACTCATTCTGTTGCTTCTCTCTCCTTTTCTGTCTCATGCACCAACATATACAGCTCCCACCAGGCAAATTCTCCTTCCTGTATTTGCATTCACTTCCAGAGCATTCTCTGTTTAAAGGAATAACGGGTGTCCACCAAATGACAAAATTGATCCAACATCAAACCAAAGCAATTTCTCCTGACTCTCTTCCCCACCCCACTAGCTGGTCCCATCTTGACTTTTTTTACTGTTCACATAAGCACCAGAGTGAATACAAGCAGTAGAAATGCAAAGCCATTTATATAAGGCAGAGCATGACAAACGCCCAGCTGGCTCAGAGCAGAGCTGTGTCTGAGGGCTGCAGCAGCCGTGCTGGGGACAGCATGCCAGCCTGGCCACACACTGTTCCACTCAGGCCCAGAGTTTGGATGGTGGTTTCCTATTCCATCCGTGAGCAGAATATTTAGGCAATTCCGCCTTTTTACTTGAGTGAAATGAAGATAATTTGCCTATAGACTTGAACTGGGCCTGTGACTGACCTTCAGTTCAAATGCAGGCTTGTCAGTGGCATTGTCACTGGCTGTGAAGGCTGATCATAATTTCATGGTAAATAAATCAGGATGAAGAAAGCAGCAGTAATTTTTTTCTGACCTTGGAGGTTAATTCAAATGACCGAAGATGTCTGCAAGTGCAACTACACTTACACTTCCCACCTAGCTACATGTGTGGGCATTCTTATTCCATAATTAGTCTGTTTTCCCTGATTATCTTTTCCATAAGCTTTATAAAGTTGATTGAATTAAAGTAGAACAACATGCACTTTGTCCAGAACAAAAATCTCTGTGTGGAGTTAAGAACAGTTATTTTGGAATTTGCTAAAGCTGTTTAGAAAGCTCTCCTAGTGTTAAAAAGACCTGGGTCTCCCAAATTAGTTATTTCATGATTCAGAGTAACATATTTCCCCAACTGCATTTTGTTATAACAGTTTTGTGTGTGTATGTGTGCAGAACTGTGTGCATGCAAAGTTGATAATGTACTGTTACTATAATTGAAATCTTAAGTTTAATGTTTACTGAGTATCATGTTTGTCTAACCTTATGAATATATAGGTACTAGATGTTCTGTATTACATAGGCAGAGAACATGTGCATTTAATGTATGAACACAGTGAAGAAAATTGCATTGTTTTGTTTGGTTGGTGGAAACTTCCTTGGAGCACCCAGGTCTGAACAAAAAGAAATATCTCTCCTGAGTGGGTGGGAATTGGCTCATTGCACACCAAGTAATGAACCTGCTTTGCAGACAGCATCATGCATATGTGAAGCCAAGAATGTATTGTTAGGAAAATAGAAATGTGTAATGTTTATTGATCCAGATATAACTTACAAAAGGGAAAGAATAATGATGCAGTGAGAATACTTCTATAAAACTGAAACACACACACACATAGTTCTTGGTTTCTGCTCCTTTTCCCTGTATTTCACTCTCCTTTCCACTATTTCTGTGGGTTGTAAGGTTGGTGGTTTCATTCTGGTACGTGTGGGAGAACTGTTAAAGAGCTGTCAGTAGTCAGGAGTCCTTTACTGGGAGGAATATGATGTTCATGTTGGTGGTTTCTTCCTCACTCAAGGATTCACCTGGTGTCATTTTTATGTTTGCTAGCATGTATTTATACCCTTACTCTCTGGTCTGCATCTCCATGTTACATCTGATTTTGCTATGCGTGGTGCACATGACATATATTAGATACTATTTCTTTGTTACCCTAAAACCAGCTGGACAGCTCCAGATTTACTCTTATTTTATCGCTGATGAGCTCTTTATAGCCATCAAGTTTCTTTTGTCAAGCCTGTGTCCTGCCTGTTATCATCCTTGCCTGTGCTCCTTTATACCACATCCTGTCCACAGTTCTCAAGGTCTCTGCTATCGCACCAGGCCTGTATTTCTCTGCACTACATCACTGTGCTAGCTGTAAATCTCTCATTCTACATAATAACCATTTGTTCCTGCCTTTTTTTTTTTTTTTTTTTTTTTTTAATGAAAGAATGGCTGTACAACACAGATAAACAGAAGTAAAACAAATTAGCCAGAGACACCTGGTCATTTATAGAAGCTGCTATCCCAGCTAACTGAGTAAAACGAGGTTACAGAAGGGTCAAGTGAAGCTCAGAGAAAGCAAGCCTGACAAGCCTCAGCCCGGAGGCCTTAGAAATTCACTGTAATACTGGGAATGGCAATACTAGAGAACTACATGGTTACAATGTTGTAGCCCCAAAAGAGGAGAGCAGGTAAGAGCAAGCTGTGCACACTAATGCATCAGTATGGGGCAATTATTTTAGAGCTGGCTGTGCTGGCATTTTGTTTCTTTTGCGGTAGAAGACACAAGAATGCAAGAATTAGTCACGGTTATTCGATCTTTTTAAACTAGAAGTTAGCTTAAAGTATATAGCACACTTTTACAAACAAAATTGCATTACCAAGTGAAAGATGGAGTTCAAGGGTGATAGCAAGGATAGTCAGAAACCAGAAACCAGGACCAGAAATTATCTGGTTCTTTCTCAAAAAAAAAACCTCACAACCCTCTAATAAAACAAAGTCCGGTTTCCCCAGGCAAGGAAACATCCTCTGAGTTCAGTTGATTCAGCTTTGAACTAGATAATCTCTTCTTGTCCCTTTCAGCCCTATTGTTGCCTTTTACTGGTTTGCTTTTCATATCTTAAAAACATTCATTTTCAAAAGGGAAAGCTTTACTTACTTATTCCGTCTTTCTGATGGACTCTGCATATGATAAATTGGTGCATGTCTCCAGAAAGGCTGTTAACTGGGATTAGGTTTTGCAAAACTTAAAAGTGGCCTTCTTTCTTTGAGTCTTCCTTTTATTTTTTCATGACATCCTTTATCACATATTAAGAATTATCTATTTTACAGTAATATTTTGAAATCATTACAAAGAAAAGGAAGCTCGTAGTGTTTAGACTGTTATCACCTAATGTCTTTATATAGTTTATATACTTACAGATTATTTCTTCTTGACTCAGAAAAGTAACTGTACGTGTGTTCACCCATTTGCGTTTGTTTGTTTGCTTTAATGAATAAATTGTCTTTGGCATCTTTTCTTCTCCAGTCACATCCATCCTGATGTGGTCCTGCATTCACCTGGCTTCTCTTTAATATTAATAGCACAGACATGTAATACATCATTTTCTCAGGAGGCTGAATCTTCCTGGGTTATATTCTGTCCTGTGTAGGGACAGGCATACTACAAGCCTGAAAGTTCAGAAAGGGCATTTGTTTATATATTTGATTCTATGAACTTGATCTATATGGACCTAAATAAAACACAGAAGCAAGCAATATAAAAACCACATTATTTCCCTCCTGTAACCACGGATTAAAACATTTTTTAAGATGACAAAATCAGCTGAATATTTTTTATATATTTTGTGGCAGTGGTTTAATTTGAGTTTGGCCTTGTTGGAGCTGGGACAATCTCAAATGAAAGGAAGTGCAGAATGACACCTCACCAACACCCAGTTGTAGGTTCACGGTGAGGATGGCAGTAATGGGATGCGATGGGAATGCCTTGACTTGCTTGGCAAGCTTGCCATGTTAGGTGATGAAGTGTGTAGAGTCATTGCAATGGATTGAGTGCCCCCTCAGTAAGTTTGCAGATAACACCAAGCTGGGAGGAAGTGTCAATCTGCCTGAGGGTAGGAAGGCCCTACAGTGGAATCTGGGCAGGCTGGATCAATGGGCTGAGGCCGATCGTATGAGCTTCAATAAGATCACGTGTGGAGTCTTGCACTTCGTTGACAACAACCCCATGGATCGCTACAGGCTTGAGGCTGAGTGGCTTGAAAGCTATGCGGATATGGAGGAAGAGGATCTGGGGTTGTTAGTTGACAGCCAGCTGAACATGAGACCCATTGTGCCCAGGTGGCCAAGAAGGCCAATGGCATCCTGGCTTGTATCAGCAGTAGTGCAGCCAGCAGGAGCAGGGAGGTGACCGTCCCTCTGTACTCAGCTCTGGTGAGGCTGCACCTCGAGTGCTGTGTTCAGTTCTGGGCCCCTCACTGCAAGAAAGACACTGAGGCCCTGGAGTGTGTTCAGAGAAGGGCAGCAGAGCTGGGTCTGGAGCACAGGTCTGATGAGGAATGGCTGAGGGAATTGGGGTTGTTCAGTCTGGAGAAGAGGAGCTCGGGGGAGACCTCATCGCTCTCTACTGTGACCTGAAAGGAGGTTGTGATGAGCTGGGGGTCGGCCTCTTCTCCCAGGGAACAGTGATAGGATGAGAGGGAATGGCCTCAAGTTGTGCCGGGAGAGGTTCAGGCTGAACATCAGGAAGCATTTCTTCCCAGGAAAAGTGGTGCTGCAGTGGCACCAGCTGTCCCTGGAGGTGTTCCAGAACCGTGTGGATGTGGCACTGAGGGACATGGTCAGTGGGCATGGTGGGGATGGGCTCACGGCTGGACGAGGTGATCTTAGAGATCTTTTCTAACCGAAATCATTCTGTGATTCTTTAACATCTGCTGGGAGTCAAGTGAGCAGTTAGTGATCCCAGCTCTTTGAGGATGTTGGGTGTAATCTGTTATCCTAAGTTGCACCTTGGATTGGAAGATGATCTTCAGATTCTGTGCGTTCATTGGCTCTTCCAAAAAAAGGAAATGTGAGAGAATCATAGAATTGTTCGAATTGGAAGGAATCCTTAAAGGCCATCCACTCCAACTCCCCTGCAATGAACAGGGACACCCACAGGTCGATCAGGGTGCTCAGAGCCCCTCCAGCCTGACCTTGGATGTCTCCGGGGATGGGGATCCAGCACTACTTTGGGCAACCTGTTCAGAAGTCTGTTTACACATGTATTAGCTGTTGTGGAGCCACTTAGCAGCACCAAAAAGATCACTCCCTGCACGTGCACTCCGTCCTGGAGTAAAAGCATGCTTTGTGAAGGGATTCATCTTTAGGCTAAAGGACTGCCTGCCTAAGCGCTCTTCTGGAACAGTTCTAGTGGAATAATGCCGTTTTCAAAAGCTGTGCCAGCCAGTTCCTCTCTGCAGACAGAGCCTTAGGCACTCAGAATCCAGGCACGGACATAAACTGCTCGATTTTTCAGGCGCCCGCGGTGCATGCGCTCAGCGTTGTGCTGCGGGGGGACACCGAGGCAGCAGGCAGCGCCATTGCCCTCATTCCCTGGGCGGGAAGGGCGGGGCGCTGCCTCAGGAGGAGGAGCTCAGGGCGGTGCTGGGGCTGAGGGTGGGTCGGGGGATGTGGTGATTCTGCCGGTGGTCTACGGGGTGGGGGAGCGAACGAGGCGTTTTATCGCTTGTAATAGAGGCCCAAGCTCGGCCCCAGTCGGGTGGGCTGCAATGTTTCCGTCAGCTCACGAGCCATTTGTTAAAGCCAGCACGGTGTGCTCAGGACGGGTGCCTGTCGCACAGCCCGCGTCTGCTCAGCACAGCGCAGCAGGCAGGCTTTGCTTTGTGTACCCAACAAATAGCTCCCAGGGCACCCCGAAACGGCTGTATTTCCTCACAAAGATCCTTATTTCTTAATGGATTTGCCGTGTTTTCACACCTCCAGCCTTATATCTGGTTCATTGCAGGCTGTGACAACTGGAACCTTCTGAGCCTTCACTGCACCAGCAAAGGGAGGAGGATTTGGCTCATCCCTAAAGCTTCAATTAGAGTGTGGTATAATTCCTCTGTTGTTCCTCCTAGACTGCAGGAAGGCACAGGTCTGCGGCTGCCTGGTTTTTCTGCTGGGAGGTGCCAGTTGCCTCAGGGTGAGGAATAGGAGGGAGAACCGAAGGCTTAAACTGTGCAGGGTTATGTGCATTTCAGGAGGGTGTTTTAAACAGAGGAGAGGGTTGGGATATGGTTGTAATACCTTTTGCATTACTTGTTTTTCTTTCTTCAGTATTTGAAGCTCAGTGGGCTTAAAATCTCTTTGATTACTTTAATTTAAATTTTAATTATTTTATTGGAATTACTCTTCCTGTATAAAGTATGAAGCGAAGGCATGATTTCTCATTCTCTCATTCTCTCAATCCATAATTGTCAGGGTTCTGAAACAAAAGAAAACAAAACCATAGAATCATAGAATGGCTTGTGTAGGAAAGGACCCTAAGGATCATCAAGTTCCAACCCCCCTGACACAGGCAGGGCCACCAACCTCCACATTTAATACTAGACCAGGTTGCCCAAGGCTCCATCCAACCTGGCTTTGAACACTTTCAGGGATGGGGCATCCACAGCTTCTCTGGGCAGCCTGTGCCAGAGCCTCACCACTCTCTCTGTAAAGAACTTCCCCCTGGCATCTAATCGAAACCTTCCCTCTTTGAGCTTAAATTTCCCCCTTGTCTTATCACTATCTACCCAAGTAAGAAATTGATTCTCCTCCTGTTTATAATCCCCTTTTAAAGACTGCAATGCAAAAAAAACCACATATCCTGATGCTATCAGAAACAGCTAATTTTATAGGAATGTTTCCACTAAATATTAACAAAAGTGATTTCATCATACATTCACTTCAAAACACAAATAAGATCATCTTAAAATTATATTTTCTTTCTCACTTTTCCCATCTTCTGCGTATACAAGATTGACAGGCTGAGAGAGCTGGGACTGTTCAGCCTTGAGATGAGAAGGCTCTGGGGAGATCTGAGAGCAGCCTTTCAGTATCTAAATGGAGGCTGTAAGAAGGGGACAGACTCTTTAGCGGGGTCTATTGGGATAGGACATGGAGAAATCATTTCAGACTAAAAGATTTAGATTGGTTATAAGGAAAAAGTGTTTTACAGCAAGGGTGGTGGGGCACTGAAACAGGTTTCCCAGAGAGGTGGCGGATGTCCCCTCCTAGGAGACATCCAAGGTCAGGCTGGAGGAGCTCTGAGCAGCCTGATCTACCTGTAGGTGTCCCTGTTCATTGCAGGGGAGTTGGACTAGATGATCTTTAAGGATCCCCTCCAAGTGATATGATTCTGTGAACATGTGATTCTGTGATTCTTGTCAACAAATTATGCAGACCTTCTGTATCTATTTGAAAGCTAGGGGAAAAAAAAAAAAAAGCTATTTGCAGCAATTTATTCTAAATTATCTCATCCTCTGTTAAATGTAGCTCATTTTGTAGGTTCACAAAAACATCATATTCTTTTCATGGACTTTATTAAGGAGGATGAGTAAGCAAACATATACAATCTTCTGGATGAGGCACTTTACAAAACTAGAGCAATGAAGGCAAGCTGACAGTTAAGACAGAAGCAACCTAACAATTTACAAAATGATAAAACTGGTACAGCAGGTTATGAAATCATATTTATAAGGAACTGTTCATTTTTCCTGCTTTCATATAACTTAGAGGCAATACTGTCCCTTTTATTTGACAATGCTACTGCTTACGGAAATAAATTCTACTAATGATAAATCATTTAAAATGTTCCTGCCTCCAAACTCTCACTGGGACCCAAGATTCTTACAAGGGAATGAATTCTGTTTTCTTAACACCAGTTAAGCCTTTTCTAGACAAATTAGTTCACTGGAGAGTAACACAGTAGGTTTTCTCCTTCTGGAGAAAGAGAGGGATGCAGAATCCAAGTTTAAATCCATATGTGATGACATACTTAAAGTTTGTGCAGTTTGAGGTCATTTTAAAAGTCCTTTTACAGATACTTGCACATTTATTACGGTCCCAATACTGTCTCTGTTTGCATTTCTCAGTACCAATCGATACTTTATTGCCTGTTCTTTCACAATGAAGGCCATGGAGGATCAAGTAGTCCAAGAAGAATCTGGATACCAGGATGATGAGGTAAATTTTATGGTTCTTTGAAAAACAGGTGCAGCAGGTGTCTGAAGATATGGTTACAGTGTACTGAAGCTCACAGAGAGACAGGAAGTCCCCAAAGACCACCAGGAAGTTCGTTTAGAATTTTGTTACAGTCTAACACCAAGAAAATCTCATTATCTCTGTACAGTTGTGTTCTTCAGATGCTCTTCACTAACCTTTCCAAAGCTATGCACAGTTTTTAATGGAATTATCATTATTGCTTTATATCTTGCACTTTAATATTAAATGCCAGAGGATTATCAGTTAATTTGAAGCTTCCAAGGAATGGTCATCAGCCAGAAAAGGCTGAAGAACAGTGGATGAAAGAGTCAAGATGTGATCCTAACACAAGTTTATTACAGCAGAGAATTACTTGCCTATGAAGATATATTTGATGAAGAAAGTGGTAGGAAATGTGTAGGCCTTTTTGGCTTACTCTGGGTTTTCTTATTTTGGTAGTTCAGCAAGACATGTTATTAGGGAAAACCATTTTAAGGTTTACAAATTTGAAGCACAGAGTGAGATAGATGTAATTTTAAGAAAAATAAAGACCTACTTTCAACTGTTTTTTTAATTGTTTTTTATTTTTAGGAATCCTTTTTTCAGGACATTGACCTGCTACAAAAGCATGGGATTGTAAGTATTACCAATGACTTATCTGCACATCATTGTCCATGTAAATTTCTCCTTGCAAAAAATTCTAAATCAGTCATGTGAAGACAAATTTTGCCTTTGGTGATAAGACAGGTTTTCAAAATATCTCATTCTCACTAGATTCCTACATAAAGTGTCAAGATATTCAAAATATTTAGCACCCAGTACTTCTTGAAAAGCCAACTAGCTGCTAACTTACATGAAAACCGTATAGTAGATCACTTCCTGTTCCTGCCAGTCTTTGTAATTATACCTGCATTTTTGGTTCCCTTGAAATTACACTGTGGCAGTTGTTGCTAAATTATTTTTGGAAGGCTGTTTAAGGGAGTAGAGTGGGAGTGAACAAACTGTTAATAGCTGGAGAAGTAAGTGGAGAGCTTTTTCATCAAATATGAATTGTTCTCATCATCAACATTACTGTCACATAAGCATTAGCTTCTTACTTGGATTACTGTTATTATATATTTACCTTGGAGACTGACTCATGGGTCAGAATGTTCAGTGTTAGAAAAGCAGAATAAGAAGTTTGGTTTGCCTGAAGTAATTTCCAATTTAAGATAAATGACTGTAGATGGATACAGACAGGGATGACACAGGCACAATGGGACAGGGTTATCCAGCATTATAGTTACTGCACTCAGCATGTCAGCAGTCTAACTGTTTCCACTTTCTTACTGACAATTCATTGTCAGGGTTTTAAAGAGTTCTGGAGAGGATAATGAGGTAATGAGCTGTAACGATGGTACAGTATAAGAAAAATACACAAATTCTTGTGTTAAAAAATTAAAATTAGTCAAAGAGGCTGACCTCATGAGCTGAAAGAGAGCTGTGTAAGCTTGTCAGTATAGAACAAGGCACAGTATGCAGAAAAATGTTGCTAAGTTATGGAAAATCTTGAAAATAAAGAGTAGTGACTTAGACTGTTCTTCATCATACTGTTTTTGGAGACAGATGTGGCTTACTGAGAGTCTCCTGCTCCTTTTCTATTATTTTTCTTCTCCCATTAAGTGTTTATTCCTACTTCTCAGGGGAAGATGTTATTCTCATCTGTGCCAGTGAGCATATGATGACCTATACCCATTAATTTCACATGCTTAAAGTAGTTTTTATGGCTTTAGATATTTTTCCCCCCAGAGGGATAGGAGAAAAATATTTCGTAGATGTGTCAGCACGGCCACAAATAGTCAGGTTTGCAGAACCCAGGCTGGGGTTTGATGTTCTAAAGTGTTTGATAGGAATTAAGTTTCTGTGATCCCAATGCCACTGCTGAGCGTTCCTACCCTCAGGCATGTGCTATTACATTTTTCTGGCACATCTGTTGTAGCCACACTGTGAACTAGATTTGTAAATCAATTCTTGCAAAAAGTATGACAACAAAAAATATGATCTATGTAGTTTGTTTATTTGTTCATTTGAATTCTTGCTGTGCTCCTGTTTCCATCTCAGAGGCATACAACTAGGGCAGAGATGCTACATAAAAAGGTTGGGAGTATCAGGATAAGCAGCTGGTGTAAGGGGGCAGGTGTGTCGGTGTGTTCAGTCAGGACAAACTGCTGAATGCTTCACGGTATCAACTAGTAGAAGAGAATTCTAGTACTTTGGCTGGCAAACAAACAGTTGGTAAAAGATGTATTTGGGAAGCAGAGGACAAGAACTTCTGCAACCAGATCTGCTGCTCAGGGAATTGTAATGTGGAGCAGTCTTAAGTTTGATGAGACCAGTAAGACAAGGCCACTTGAAGAAATGAGGAAGCTGAAAAGTGAGTTTTGGCTTAGAAAAATGATCTTTGCAGCAAAAGTCTATTGTCTTAATATAAAAACACTACATGAACAACAGCTCAATATTGGTTTTGTTTGTTTGTTTGTTTGTTTTTTAATTACAGATTTTTTGGGTTTTTTTGAGTGGAAGAGTCATTTCTATTTGTGATCGATTTTACCTCACCTATCCCTCTTAATGTAATAGTCAAGAATATCTCACAGGATGAAAAATAAGCTTCCCAATGACCACAACTAATTCTTTCCATAGCCCCCCTCCCATCCTAAGAACAGATATCCGCACAGTAGATAAAAAAAATGATTCATCCAACTCATAGTGTGGTTTGTTTGTTTGTTCTTTTAAATAAATAACTTGGCTAGAGATGATGAATTGCAGTATTACCTCCAACCTTTCTCATGGTATGTTTCTTGTGAGTTATTTGTTCCTTGCCTTTACATTTCCAGTGATATCAGATTTCTAAAGTGAGGTGGGAAGAGGCAAAACATGCCTGTAGGGTGCTGAATGAACTCATGCTGTATCCAGTGAATTAAAACCTCTAGTAAGCCCATTCCAGATGCAAGTGCCTGTTGGATCTGGCAGGTTAGGTGTGTTTTGCTTTGGATTTGCTGTCAACATGCAGAAACGTCACAGCGGTTAGAGTCAGCATCCTACACCTATGCAAGTCAGCTCCCAGCTGTGATCAGATTACCTGGTTTACAGATTATGTGTGCAAGGGGAACAAAGACAGATTGAATTTGACAGGGTTTTTTAGGTTAGACTCTACAACACCTGAAATAATTCATTCTGTTTCTTTACTATTCGCTTGGATCTAGAAAGACTGGCACTGAACAGGGACAGGTTGAGTACAACCAGACCCAACATAGCCTGCACCATGATCCTTCACATTGATGTGACTCAAAGTTTTCTGATATTTGGGTGTCACAAACTACATAAGGAAGAGTTTACTTTGTAAATATGTTTCTTTGTGAAAATACACGTGCAGATGAGTGTATAACAAAGTATTTCAAAGGTTTACTTTGCCAGCTGGTTGTTATCTGTCACAAGTACTCATAGAAAGGAATTTTCTTCGCAGAACGTGGCAGATATTAAAAAACTGAAGTCAGTTGGGATCTGCACTATCAAAGGAATCCAGATGACAACAAGACGAGCACTGTGCAATGTAAAAGGGCTTTCAGAGGTCAAAGTGGACAAGATTAAAGAAGCTGCAAATAAGCTGATTGTAAGCCAATCACTTTCTTGATCATTTAAATTTATGCTGGCCTCTCCAAAATGCTGCGCAACATTTCTCTGTATACAATTTTTCACCACCTCATCGAGATAATTTTGAAAATTATCCGGTTCACTATTCTTTATATTCTTTATATTTTGCAGCAGCCAGACGAATGTTGTGGTGCTTTTCATACCCAATGTGTGAAATGAGGCTGTGGTAGACAGAAGTCATCCGGGTGGGATATCACACTCTGCCTTCAGCTTAAAGCTCAACAAAATAAGCCTCTCATGTTCTCTTTGGTCTTCCTTAGGAGCCAGGCTTTCTAACTGCATTTGAGTACAGTGAAAAACGGAAGATGGTATTTCATATTACTACTGGCAGCCAGGAATTCGAGTAAGCTTACATCTACTTTTTTCCTGTCTTAGTACAAACTGTTCTGATTATATTTATTGTCTTGAATGAGAAACAAAAGTATAAAAGAACAAAAAATCAGTTAGGACATGTAGGTTATTTTGCATTTAGAGCAAGTGCTGTCTCAAAGATGCCTGAATCTCTAAGCAACAAAACCAACTCCTTTTCTGAGGGAAACCAGGCAGTCATTGTAAATAAACAGTTTGCATCCAAAAATTCTGACCATCATTTGATGATCCTGAACATCATTTTTTCACCTAATTAAAACAACCTGAAGGCCTACAATCAAAATCATTAAGTGTAAAAGACTTCCCTTGAAATACTTCTATGGAACTTTATCTTTCAGGGATGTTTTCTATCTTCTCTCTTCCAGCAATAATTTCTATACATTTTTCTCTTGCAGGCAGTAAGGAAGATTGATTTAATATTTTATCAATCAGTGGTCATTTAGTGCCCTGCTTTAGGACAGATATAACTCATCTTGAAGCAGAAAAAAATTATCTGTTTTCATTTCCTCTTGTGATTTTGTGGCTTTAACTATATCATAATTATCTTCCTTTCTGCAGCAAACTTCTGGGTGGTGGGATTGAAAGCATGGCAATCACTGAGGCCTTTGGAGGTGAGAAAACTACATTAAATGAGTATTATTAAACAGACAAAGAGTAGTTTAGATTTTAAATCAAGCTAGATCACTTCTGTGAAACATCACACCGTAGTCAAAGATGAGTACTGCATGTCTGGAAGAAGAAATAATCCACGTTGAATTGCTTGCAGACTAAGTTTGAGCTGAGTAATCACTATATTTGGGGGGCATGCTGATTCAGAATGACATTAATACTACTATTAACTATTTCCTAATATAGAAAAGATTTCCCTGATGCAATCTCTGTTCCTCTTCAGTAATGGCACAAAAGATCTATTTATTTACACTTGGGATGCATTGAATTTCATACAAGAATTTGCAATCAGTTGTTAGAGTAAATTCCACCCATTTGTGGTTAGCACTTCAAAAACAGTAAGAAGAGTTTGGAAAATGCGGTAATCTCTTTGGAGAAGATAAATTGGAGACCTGTATGATTTGATGTTGTGAGATTATTCTTGATCAATTAGTTGAAAATACAATTGGGACTGATCCTGTTTTGGGGGGTCAAAGTGGACCCAACCACTCATTTTTCCTCCTTTCTCAGTTACCAATTTCCCATCCATGCCTTGTGGTACTTAACTTCTACAGAAAAGTAGAAATAAACACAGCAGTCAGGCAAGATCAGATGAAAGTACTTCAGATTCTGCTTTTCATGCAAGATATTTCCACTGAACGTAATGTGATTTATATATCAGGATTTAAATGTACAAATGTATAAATAGAGAAACAGAGGTGAATTTTTGCAGTAACTGAATTTGGCAAACTTGGAAGAAAAGACCAAAAAAAACCCAGAAAGTGACTTTTTTTTTTTCTTTATTTAACAGAGTTTCGGACAGGCAAAACACAGCTATCTCATACCCTGTGTGGTAAGTGTGCTACCTTAAAACAGGGAATGTTGTTTGGTTTTTTTTCTTTACAGCAGTGTAAAAATTCAACACAATATTCAACAATATTCAACAATAAAAGCAAGTCAGAATATTCTGTCTCTAGAAATATAGTGAAAAAAACTTGGTGACTCTTTCTAATAGATGTGTTTGAATACAGAACTCATGCAGATAATTGCTTATTAATACTGCTCACATCAATCTAAGTATTGCCAGACGGAGAGAGAAGTCCATAAGCCATGTTAGGGAGCAACACATGCTACCTGGAAAAGCAGAGCACAAACAGGAGTCATAGGGGAACAAGAGCATTGCTCTTGCAAAGGCAAGATTCTTTGTCAGCAATGCTTTTAATTTCCTGGGTTCAAGAAGTTCTGCTGACAATGACATTCTGAAAGGACACTGAAAGGATACCACTGGCTAACATGAACTGGTTAAACAAAGACTTTGGCAGTGCCAGGACTCTGATTCCACAGCACTATCTCACAATGTGTAGATAGTAGTCAGTAATAACTATTGTAACAATTACACTTCTGGAATATAGTTACAGGTCACTGGGTAGACAAACATTCACTTAAATGGACACTGTGGCATAAAGGGAATTGTGGAGCCTTCTGGAAAAATGAAGACTCTTCCATTCAATGCAATCTAAGTTAGTCAGCAGAGTTATATTCTTTCGCCTGAATGATCACAACTGAATGGATTGAGTATTTTAGCTTATTCACTTCAAAGAGGCTAAACTAGTGATTTCCACATTGATTAAAACCAGTGGCTCTCTGTGATACAGGTACACAGTCATCATATTTTATTAAAAATAATAGTGTGAAAAAATATTTTTCTCAGCTATTCATTTTATTCTGATTCATTCCAGTGACAGCTCAGCTGCCCGGGCCCAACGGCTACACTGGTGGAAAGATTATCTTCATTGATACTGAAAACACTTTGTATCTTTTGGGCTTCTGAAAGCTACAGGTACCTTGAACTGGAAAGACAATTCATTTTGTTCTAATTTCAAGCAAGTAGGAGGCTCCAGATGGCTTCACGCATGGGAAAGAATATGATAGGCACAGAAAACTTGGAGAGCGTAGTGTATAGTGGCTTTTCCTCTGTCATTTTATCTAATCCAAGCTGGAAAAGTTAGTCAGAATACAGATTTTAAGTACTTCTTTGGGATTTAACATGCTTTCTTAGTGGTGACAGGTTATAGAAAGCAATGAATAAATAAACAGATAGACAGATGATCATAGAATCATAGAATCATAGAAATGGCCTAGGTTGAAAAGGACCTCAAAGATCATCTAGTTTCAACCCCCCTGCCACAGGCAGGGACACCAACCGTTAGACCAGGCTGCCCAGAAGCCACATCCAGCCTGGCCTTGAATGTATCCAGGGATGGTAGGTGATATAAGTATTTATCTCAAAATAAATTTATCTAAGAACTAACTTAATGTCTGTGATAGACTGTGTTTGAATAAGTTTTACTAGCTGCTAAATTCCCACAGCATGTATATCCATATGTCAACCCTAAACACAAAACAATTATCATCAAGAGCCTCAAACTGTCCTTAGGGTATGTAAGACAGTGTGAAAAGTCAGTCTTCTCTAGGATTAGAATAAATATATATATTTTTCCCATATATTTATTTTGGGATGGAATTTTAATGTTTTTAGAGCACGGTTTGTACAGAGAGAAATCCTTAACTCTGACTGATGTCAGCCGACCAGACCGTCTCCGTGACATTGCTGATCGTTTCAATGTTGACCATGATGCAGTCCTTGACAACGTGCTGTATGCACGTGCATATACCAGTAAGACCATCACTGCAACTGCTAGGATGACTACGATTTTTCTCCAAGGCTTCTAATTTAGTAGTATGTGTATTATAGTTGTCAGTGTACCATCTTAGTAACAGAAGCAACAGTTAATGTCTGAATGTAAGCTAACTCTATAAATGCTGTCGATAATTCTCTATAATTTTGTGAATGGACCTTCAAAGAAACAGTTTCATGCACTCTGACAGAAGACATTGCATTAATACTTCAAGTAAATGGGACTTTTACATGAACATAAATAATATGGCAATACAGTTTCTTTGTGTCATTTAATTCAGTGTTCATTTCAAAGAATTCTGTTGGTTTTCAATTCTCAAAACAAGACTTTTTTTGTGGAGCTCTTCACAAAGAAGTGTTGTTGGCTGGGCGAGTGGATACTGGAGCCTGCAGAAGCATAAGCACTATTGGGTATTGGAGAAGTAGCTTGTTAATGGGCACTGGACTTAGGGCTGCTGGTGGTGAAAATACAAAGAATGCAGGCATTTAAAGTGGAATTTCAAAATTTAGGCTTTTCTTGCTTCAGAATTCTTTCTGGCCCTAATTTCATTTGTCAACTGTACTTCTCATCAGGTGAACATCAGATGGAATTGCTTGACTATGTAGCAGCCAAGTTCCATGAGGAAGCTGGTATCTTCAAACTACTGGTACAAGACTAATTTTTATTTTTCATACACTTGCTGCTTTCAGAATAGTTTTTGTTTGTTTGTTTTTCACTGTATTGACTTATCCAGTGCAATTACAATACAGATCATTGACTCCATCATGGCACTCTTCCGTGTGGATTTCAGTGGTCGTGGAGAGCTGGCTGAACGACAACAGAAACTCGCTCAGATGCTGTCCAGGCTCCAAAAAATATCAGAAGGTAAAGGAAACATTGCAAAATATGGACAACATGGATTGGTGTTACTGAAACAGCAATTGTTGGTGGCAAGACCACTAAGTGTATTATCAAATCAGGTTCTGGCCCAGGGATCCTTGCTCACTTTACGCTTCTGTCACTTACCAAAAAGAAACAAAAGTATATTATTTCAAGGTGACAGATAAAAGAGTCTTTAGAATTATTTAACATTTAGAGTTCTCCCAGAAATACTGTTGAGAAGTCCTAAATAGGAGGCCAGGTTTTGAAACTGGACAAATTTCCAGCCTTCCCCCAGCTTCTACAGTCTAAATACACAAGGAACATGGAGAACAGGATAAAAATGGAGAAGGTACAGAGAGAGGAGAAGGCTGTGCTCACTGCCTCATTCTAATTGCTGCACAATGCTCTGAGGGATGAAGATGGAATGAACAGGATTCTTCCTTTTTTGGAATGGCTCAGAAACATTGATAAAGAATGAGTAAATGTGTTTATGTAGTAAATATCAAAAAAAGGGGAACAGTCAGAGGGAGGGAGAAGAGGCCTAGGGCATGGAGCCCATGGAGAAGATGGGAATTGAGAAAGACTTCTTCAGCAGAACTCTGAAAAGTGCTCACTTTCTGGCAGAAATATTACAGCTGACACAAGAGCAAAGTTAGGCTGTCTTCCCGTTAAACCCAGCCAGCAGGCATAAGGAACATTTGCTTCTCTTTCCTTTGAAATTTGAAGTGCCTCAGTAGCAACCTTGATGTTACCCTGAATATGAGGATATTTTTGAAATCTAATTTGATACAGTTCATCTTCTTTGCATTGTTTTCTATTGCAGAATATAATGTGGCTGTGTTTGTGACCAATCAGATGACTGCTGATCCAGGAGCAACTATGACGTACGATACTCACTGTCACATTTCTAATCTTTGGTTACATATTTGGTTACATATTTAACAGAGATAAGAACTGAGACTGAGCAACAGGCATTGACATGAAGGCACACTCCTCATGTTCTAACTATTTCAGGCTGTCCTTTGGTCTTTCTGGTATCACGAGTCATTCACAGATGACACCTATAGGTTTCTCTCAATTCATTTTTTAAAATGATCTATTTTTCCTGGCTGGCATGATGATTTCTTTCACTGTGTCTTGAATGAACAGAACAAAACATAACAACTATTGAAAAAAACACCTGTCTTTTAAAGCAGTGTATATACGTTGTGTACATTCTTGAACCTCTTGAATTTGATGAGAGGACATTGAGCATTGAGCATCTTATCTTGAGACAGGTGTGTTTAGATCCTCTTTTGAATTCTGCCTGTTTATTATTCATTACTGACTTCACTGTGCATTGCCTGACAGTTAATCACACTATTAGCCTAAGGAAATTGCATGGTGAATCATCACTTTTTTTTTTTTTTTTTTTTGCTGATTTAGCTTTCAGGCAGACCCAAAGAAGCCCGTTGGGGGCCACATCCTTGCTCATGCTTCAACTACCCGAATTAGTTTGAGGAAAGGGAGAGGGGAGCTGCGTATTGCAAAGATATACGACAGGTAAATCTGTCCTTTCACAGGAAAGAAGCTGCTTTATGAACACAGTAGGGTGTCAAAGTTCATTGCACCGAAACTTAATAGCTTGTGAACTGATTGGTGGTTTCAAATGAACCATGCATCTGGATGGTATGTTGAGAGAAAATGTGAAAGGACAGAGTGATTGGTAGATCTAGATTAGTAGATTCCAAGTTCTCTTGCATATCATATATATTACGTTATGTAACCTTTCCTCATAAATCCTACCAGATGTTCATTTCTTCTAGAAGACTATCAAATCATAGAATCACAAAATCAGAGTGGCCTGGGTTGGAAAGGACTCCAATGATCATCTAGTTTCAAAGCCCCTGCTATGCACAGGGTCACCAATCACTAGACTAGGCTGCCCAGAGCCATGGTTGTCCCTTGGCAGGAACATTCCAGATCTGTTAAATGCTGACCTCAGTGGGTATCAGTTTACACGCTGAGCTGGGGCAGATGCAGGTATTAAAAAACCTATTAGCAGAACTGTGTGGAGAGACCAGTGCTCCCTGGTCAGCAGGATCTGAAATGTGGAAGACACGTTTGCACAGTCTTCTCTTCTCCCACACTTCCTCCTTTCCCCTCACTTGTGTTTCTCATCTTCAGAGAGGTGGGTTTCATGTTTTCTCATCTTGATAACATTGATCACATCTCATAAAGATGCTGAAGTATTCCATGTTGCTTTTACTTAAAACCTTTGGGAGACCGTTCCATTACTACATTTAACACTTGTGGATTTCTTTTTTTCCCAGTCCTGAGATGCCTGAAAACGAAGCCACATTTGCAATAACTCCTGGAGGGATTGGAGATGCCAAAGAATAGGCAGAAAACTCATGCAAAAGTACAGCTGATAACCACCAAGGCAGCGAGTTGGGATGAAGATTTGTGCAAGCTCGCTGTCTCCCCAACTGCATTTTTATCTTCTTGGAACAATTTGAGAGGTTTTGAGATAAACTGTGTGCTTCAGTGTTTATTCATCTTAACAGAAGTTGGTTCATTTTGGGTCTTCTCTTTTCAATTGACAATAAATAGCTGATGGAAACGGCAAAAGCCCAAGAACTTTGTGGAGTTTCACGTGCAGAAGAAAAAAAATATATAATAATTACCTGAAATACCTTCACATTGATCAGATTATTTATTTATGCACTTTTACTTTTTGGAGAGAATGACCTCAAGTTGTTTACACTAAAGCTAATAATAAAGATATAAAATCAGAACAGCATTTGACCCGTGTTTGGGTGCTTTGCATCCAGCCCTACTCTCAGTCATCTCCCACGGGAGAAATAAGCCAGATGCAACCCAACCTTTTGAAACCCGTTTGGGGTACCTCAAGCCATTTTCTCCCAGCCAGGAGAAAGCAGACATCATGGCTGCTGTCCCTCCCGCCGCTGCCCGGGCGCTGAGCCCACAGCCCCCAGGCAACCTGCGAGGGAGCCCCAAGCCCACCGAACCCGCGCAACCCGCAGCAGCCCCTACAGCCCTCGGCCCCGCCGCCGCAGCACCGCTGTTGTTGTCTCCTCCACGGGGGCAGCCGGCGCCTGGCCGAACGGCCGTATTCTCTAAGCGCCGCTACGCTGCACGATTAGCGTAATCCTCCGACCCTCTGCCAGCCCTTCCCGCACAGCCCGCGGAAGAATTTTACGCAAAACGATCGGGCTCTTCCTGCTCTACGTCAGCCTGAGTTACGCAAGCTGCGTACGCCGTACGCTTACGTAACGTACGCCTCGGCCTAGCTTTTCCCTACCCTCTAGAAGGGGTTACGCGATGGGCTCCTTGCGTAGCTGACTTTGAGGAATAAGAAGAGCGATACTCTGTTTCCTGCCCGCCTCGCGCTGGGGCAGCTTAAGTATAGAACGCTACGCAACTTTCGTATCTCGCTCTCCGTTCGGAGCAGCGTTTCGCCATGAGCGCGTAGGACGTAGTTGGCTTCCGGGAATAAACGTAGGCATTTTCGGGAGCCGCAGTTTGCGCAGGGCCGGGGCGCCCGTAACGTAAGTGAAGCGGGTTGGGGCGGCGGCGGCCATTTTGTGCCGGGAGCACGGAGGAAGAAGACGCGAGCGTCTCCACACTTGACGGGCCCTGGAGCCGACCGAGAGCCCCGCCGTTCCCTCCGCCGACGCTCAGCGGGTCTCCGACCCACTGACCAATTCTTCTTCGTTTGTGTCCCTCCCGAGAGCCGAGGTGGCGCAAAGCGAGTCCTCCGAGACCCAGCCGGCGCTGGCCGGGCCCTCGCCCCGCACCCCCAGCCCCTCGCCGTCACCACGGCCGGCGTTCCGATGCCTCTCGCCCACCCCCCCGGGGGCGATGAGGGGCTTCGGGGACCGGGGGCGAGACCGGGACCGCGGCGGGTAAGGGGGCGACGGGGAGGGCCGGGCTGGAGGGCGGGGGGTGTGCAAAGGGGGGGGAGGGGAGAGGGGTTGGGGAGCGCTCACCTCGGTTGAAGAGGCTGGGGGGCGAGGGGAGGGGCGGGGAGGGGGGATTTCTCCTCACGTGATCGTGCTGAGGAGCGTGAGGGGCGGTGGGGGGGGGGGGAGGACGGATTTTTCACCTCCGATTTTCACGTTGAGGGGCGTATTGTCACAGTTTCGGCAGCAAGGAGTGGCTTTGTTTTTATTTACTCTTTTTCTTACTGACGTGCCTAGTTTGCAATTCTGAGGCCTACCTCTTCCTTTTCTCCCCGTATCCTTAATTTATTTTCTCCTTTACCCAACCACCTCTCCCCTCCCTCCCCCCCACCAATCACCGACGGGGGTCTCTGTGGCCCTGGCGCTGCCCTTCGTGCTGTCATTGCTCCTCTGGGGCTCCCTCAGAAGATGGCAGTTGGTGCAGGGCCCTTCTCGTGAGAGGAAACGAGAGTGAAAGCTGCCGTTGAGCTGCCTGCATTCTCAGGAGGCCAATGGCTGTAAACATGGCCTGGGCTGTGCTTAGCAGGCACGACCAAGCTGAGCGTGACCAGCCTTAGCGTGACCAAGCTGATGGAGCAATCGAATGGGAGCTGTCTGGCTGCTGTAGTTATGGCCTACTGCTCCATGCTTCCAGTGTTGCTGTTGAAAAAGATTATGAAAGGGTTTTGTAGGTTTGACTCCTTCTAAGGATGGCAGCAATAAGATGACGTTATAATATATAAATGGTTTGTAACTTGGTTTTCTTTCTGAGGGTTAAAAGCAATAAGACTCATCCTAGAGAAAGTGAAAACCAGTTTAGGAGAGCAGTGTTTTCCATCGTTATGATAGCAAGTAGGCCTCTGTTCTCAACAGTTAACCTATATGTATCGTACGGATCTGGTCTGCCATATTAAGACATGATTCTCATGTTTTTTGGTCTTATTTTTCCCCTTTTTCTCAATGGCAGATTGAGGAGTATTTTGTTTACGTGTCAAAATCCACTTTAACATTTAGTTTCTCTTCATCTGTGGAGGAAGATAGTCATACTTAGGCTTTATCTTTGCACCCACATTTCGCACTCTGAACTTAAAGCATCCTTTCACTTTTTTTCACAGGGAGGAGGGTTGTGTTTTTCCACCATGAGCTTTCCAGCTGAGCACAACACAAGGACACCAGTGTAAATGCTCTGGCAATCTGAGATAGCTCAGGCCCAGCTGCTTTTGGAGTTTAGAGAGTGTTTGAGTATGCAGACTTTCTTAGAGTTACCTAAAGTAACACTGTTCAGAGTGTTGTTACAATGCTTAGCATGCATGAAATTTGTGTTGTCATACTCTGCAGAAGGGCTTTGGTTGTAGATTCTTCTGGTTTAGATCAGGGATGTGGTGTAAGAAGCAAGTAAGGAGGAGAGCCTTATTTGTCAGGTTTTTGGACATCTGTGTGGAAAATTGTTTTCTTGGCCTATTACACCAGAAGATTTAATGTATCAGGATTCAGCCACTGACAAGCAATTCATAAATAATCTCTCTGAGAAAGTGGGGCCACCCAGGATGCTGTGTTCAGAAGTTCTTCATCTTCTTAGTGCTGACTTTTCCCTGAGCTAACAAATACAGACTTCCAGTTTTCTTCTTAGGAATGAGCTGTAGGTGACTGCTTAGGATAGGCAGCTGTACTGTTTTGCTCTGGAATGTAATAAATTCTCTCAGTTCTGTCCCAGAATCTGTGGCATACTTGTATTAGAGAGGAATGTTCTGGGTCAGTCTGAATTTCTCAGTGAAGTAATCCTAGATTTAAATCAATTTGACTGGAGCTGGAATCGGGTGGTTCCCACCAGGTTAGCGGGGTTGCAGGAGTGCAGCAGGGTTCCCTTCCTTCAGGTCAGTGTGCAGCCATATTGCGTATGGGGACAGAGAACTGGAACTGCTGTACTTGTGTCAGAGTGTGTGAATCATTATCATAGAATGTCCTGGGCTGAGAAGGACCACAGTGATCATCTTGTTTCAACCCCCCTGCTATGTGCAGGGTCAGCAACAACCAGACCAGGCTGCCCAGAGCCATATCCAGCCTGGCCCTGAATGCCTCCACGGATGGGGCATCTACAACCTCCTTGGGCAACCTGTTCCAGTGCGTCACCATCCTCTGTGTATGGAGTCTTCCCTCTGGATAGCTGTGGAGTGCATAGAGTACTCAGCTGTTTTGGGGTCCAGTCTTGCAGTCAGCTTTTCCTCTCACCCTCCAGTAGACTCCAGTGAGGCTGTCTATGCCTTCTGTTAGAACTGCTTGGTTACATCAGTAGTAAGCATTTGGACCTCAAGTTAGCATGGTCAGCAGCAGATATTTTCAGCGGAGCAGAATGTTTCTGGAAATGATCTGTACTATTGTTGCTTTTCCTTTGTCCCAGAAGACAACTTAATGCTTAAAAGTGATTTTTGAAATGGTGTTTTATGATCTTTGCCTATGATAGAAATGACTGATTACCCAGGGTGCTGGTGGGGAACCTGGTGAACATAGGAGGAGAAAATAAGGGGTATTTATACAAGGGGGAAGAGATGTAATGAAACAGTTGCAGCAAAACAAACATTAGAATTTACATTGCTGGCTGTAAGTTAAATTTATATCTGCCATGCTTTTTCCAACAGCGCAACTCCTTCCTGTTAATATGTTCAACTTCTGCTTTTTGGTCTCTTAGCCTTTGTCATTTTGTAATTTCCTTTAGGAAGCAGTTTAAAGAGCAAATGTGGCTACTGTCTGAACAGATAGTCCTCTAATTAAGGTAATGCAAGCAGTATCTCAAATCTACTTTATTTTTTATCAGGCTCTCCTCTAGTTACCAGTTGATGAAAAGTTCTTTGGGATTTCTGTAGCTTTTGGTATGTTTTGTTGACTGTAATTTTTCTGGTGAAGTTTTAAAGTAAATAATAATTTATAATGTATCCAGTAAATAACTGCTTCATACCACTCTAATTCAGTATTATTATAGATTTCTGCCAGAAGTTATTGTTTTGTTTACTGCATCCCTGAGTCATAGGAGAGTTCTTAACCTTCTGAAGTGCGTGAAATAAACCAAGTAAATAAAACGTCTGTGAGAGAACAGTAACTTGGCACTGCTTGATACTTAGGACGTTTTTTAGCAGTCAGAAATGTTTGAAGGAAGATCCTTTTTCTTTTTTTTTTTCTTTTCCCCCTCGTGGATTTGTTTTGTTTTGTGGTTTTGTTCTGCTGTGGCTGCTTTAAAAAGGGAGGTGTTACTTATTGCCTTGGTTCTAGCGTTGTACGCAGGCTATCAAGCTTTGCTGGCTTTGTTTCCTTTTTATTCTTTCTTGTTTCGTATTTGAGGCGTATGGCTTGATAAGAAAGGGAGAAAGGAAAATAGCAACTGTCTTAATAAAAACTACCCTTGAGATGGAAGGAGCTTGTGATTAGAGATTTCTCCTATGCTTTTCATCTATCCATGTTTTAAGCATAATCTAAGCTTCAGTGAAAAATAACAGGCAGGGCTGTACCAGCAGCTTTGTCCCAGGAAAGGGATCACAGAATCACAGAATGGCCAGGGTTGGAAGGGACCTCAAGGATCGTAAGTCTCCAACCCCCCTGCCACAGGCAGGGCCACAACCTCCATATCTAATACTAGACCAGGCTGCCCAGGGCCCCATCCAACCTGGCCTTGAACACCTCCAAGGATGGGGCATCCACATCCTCTCTGGGCAGCCTGTTCCAGCACCTCACCACTCTCTCTGTAAAGAACTTCCCCTGACATCCAGCCTAAATCTTCCCTCCTTCAACTTCAAACCATTTCCCCTTGTCCCCTGTTGTCAACCCTTTCAAAGAGTTGATTCCCCTCCTGTTATATATATCCCTTTAGGTACTGAAAGGCTGACCTAAAAATGGCTGCGCTGAAAGGAACTTTGAAGATGGCTTTGGGTTAGAATGGGCACAGGGCATGTTTATGTTGCTGTATGCTATCATAGTATTGGTTTCTAGGGGGAGAGAGAAAGTGAACTGTGAGAATATTGTGCTTGTGTCAAGAGGAGGAAAAGGAGTGGAAATGCTAAAGAAACGTGCAAATTCTCAACCAACTAAATTCTGTTTGTAATTTACCTTGGTATTTCCAGGTTTGGAGCAAGCCGTGGAGGTCCTCTTCCTCCAAAGAAGTTTGGTAACCCGGGGGAGCGCTTACGGAAGAAAAAATGGGACTTAAATGAACTGCCCAAGTTTGAGAAGAATTTTTATGTGGAACATCCAGAAGTGGCCAGGCTTACTCCAGTAAGTGTTCAAGTTCTGACCTTTTACATACAACAAAAAGTATCACAAGTTGAAGGCTTTGTTCTAGGGCTTCTGGAACAGTGTGTAATAAAACTGTCTCTTCATTAATCTTGTTTGGCATGTTTGTCCTCTGCTGCCTCACACTTGTAGCCGCTGTCACTGTAACGTCAGCAGAGGTGATGCTTCTGGTTTTCAGCCGTTTTTATACATGGTATTTTACTTTTGACCACTTACAACTCACCATCAAAA